CGCTGGAAAAGTCAATATTCTCTTACAAGCATGCCTATCAAATGCCAATGTTGAAAATTTTGCCTTAATATCTGATTTAGCATTTGTAGTACAGAATACAAGTCGCATAGTCCGAGCTTTATTTGAAATTGCTTTGAATCGTAACTGTGCTTCACTTTATTAGAATTATGTAAATGTATTGACAAGCATATGTGAATGTTTGAAAATCCTCTGGCTCAATTTAAAATGCTTCGAAGCTTCAAAATAATCCACATACCACTTCATTAAAGAACATGAGAGATATGTCTTCAGCTGAACTTGGATAATTAGTTAAGCAGAATAGCATGAACGCTTATATTTCTAAATATCTAGAATGCTAAAGTTAGTAGCACATGTTGCACCTATTACATGTAATATTCTACGAGTAACTCTTAGTATTACTTCTGATTTCGTTTGGAATGATCATATTCATAGTGTTGTAGAATCATGGTGGATATTCGTCGAGGATTCTGAAAATATTGAGTTATATCATTCAGAATTTTTTATATTAAACAGGAAGCAACTTGAAGAAACTCAAAAGATTAGGTTTACAGTTCCAATCCAAGAATTACTTCCTCAATTATATCATGTCATCAGATAGGTGGATAGAAGTTGAGACATTTCTTTCAGTTTCCTTAAACCATCTAATTTTGCCTGAAAATTATCATCAACATGCAGAATTGTTGAGTTTACCTCCATTACCTATAACTGCTCTAAAAAATAAATCATTTGAAGAGATATGTGTTAAGAAATTTAATCATTACAATCCTGTACAGACTCAGGTGTTTGACACATTTTATAATTCTTCATCCAATGTATTGATTGGGCGCCTACAGGATCAGGATAAACGGTTACTGCTGAATTAGCAATGTGGTGAGTAAATGAATTGTATTCTATTTTAAACATCATACATTTTACGTGTGAAAATATTAAATATATTGTCTGCTTTTTAAAGTGTGTGGTTCGTGAATATCTACGTTCCAAGGTAGTTTACATCACTCTATTAAAAGCTTTAGTTTACGAGTGTATAGATGATTGGCAAGCTAGATTAACCAGTCCAATGAAAGAAAAAAATGACTTGTAGAGTTAACAGAAGATGTTACCCCTGACTTGCATTCTATTGAAAATGCTGATATTATTATTACAAAACCTGAAAAGTGGATGGTATAAGTCGTAGTTGGCAACATAAAAGTTATGTTCAAACTATATCACTTGTGATTATTGATGAAATTCATTTACTCAGTGGTGATAGAGGACCTATACTTGAGGTTTTTTTATCACGAATGAATTACATCAGTTCTCAAAACGAAAATAAAGTTCACATTATTGGGTTATTAACAGCTTTAGCAAATGCTCAGGATTTAGCAGACTGGTTGTGTATTATAAGGGTAGACTGTTCAATTTTAGTCATTCAGTACGTCCTATTAGACATTAATATTAAAGGATTTTCTGAAAGACACTATTATCCTCGTATGGCTACTATGAATAAACTGACCTTTATTAATATTATGAGATATTCTCTTATAAAGCCTGTAATTGTGTTTGTGTCATCATGACGTCAAACGCGTTTGACAGTTCAGAAGTATTTCCAATATAGAGAGAAGATATAGTATTTCGAAAGCATTATAAACAACTTGTTTAACGTAAGTAAACACAATACTTAGACTTATTCACTTTTATAAATTTTGAAAATTTAGCCTTAGATGATACCTGAATACTTATTGAAGAATCAACATCAGCACAGCATAAAAATCACAGAGTAACTATTAATTTTTTATTGATTAATTTTTTCTCTTGAATGTTGAATTTATCAGCTTATTATTATTTTTCTTGATATTAAATTATCCCGATTATGCTTTAACGAAACCTATTTAATAAAATATTTTAACATTTTATCAAAACATATGTGAAATTATAACACCATTAACAAGGTAATGACATTTCCCAATTGTTCATAAGAATTCTCTCATTAATAATGCTCCTTGAGCCATATAGAAAAAGAAAATTGTTCAAATTAATTACAGTTAACCAAGAAAATTCGTCTTTCTTAATGGTCATTTTAATAAGAAATTAAAAAAGATATAAGGCTATATAATCAAGTTCCACTGGAAATATTTTCAGTTTTCTTTCTCCTTCAAGCGTCGAAATCGAAGCAGAGTAATGAATGCGAGGAAGATGTGATACTCTTTTCTTGCAACCATCAATACATGTGTCGTCGAAAAAATTCTCAACATATGTTTTAGCAAAATATTGGTAATTTTTTCACAAGAAATCGTGATGTTGTTAAAATCCTATAATAATAAAATGGATGAATTCTGCTACTTATTACATGCTTTTATTAAATTAGCGAAAATCAAGTTTAGGAAATTATCATTTAAACTGATTTTTACATGATTTCCATTGTTTTCCATTGTTTAAACCTAATCAATATCCTATATAAAGTCTTTTTTTTTAAAAAAAAAATTAAAATAATAATTATTTATTGCTTACCTCTTTCCTATTTGTAGGTACTAGAATCATTCAGATTGATGGGATCAAAGATGAGTCCTATGAAGCAGAAAAGTAATCATTTATAAATTGTTAAATTAATAAAATGAATCTTTAAATATGACTTACCACTTCTTCTTTTAATTGGTACTAAAAACTTGGTAATACTTAATTATTTTTTTTTTAAAAATAGATATTTTTTATTTTTTTTTAACATTAAGGTAAGATTCATGATTTTCTTTTAGAGTGTTTACTTTTTTTTGTCAAAAATTTAAAAAATAATAAGCATTAATGTTCTATTTTTCTTTTTTTATAGGTTAGACTTTCAGAATTTTTGAAACGGTTCTTTAGTATATGATTAGAGAGAATAAATAATTTTAATTAAATCAATTCTATTGCTACATGCATATGTAATATGCTTGTAAGCCAAATTTCCAAATCAAGTTTAAAGTTTATTTCTGATCTTATGTTAAACCATTTTTATGTATAATAAATAAATCCAAATGAATTTAAATTTGCAAAAAAAATTTTTTAACGACTTTTCAAAATACAATTATTATAATTACAGTCTTTTCTTTATAATACAATGCTATCTTTTCTAAATTTCTCTGACTAAATTTGTTTTAAACCAATTTTTTCTTTCAAAATTCCTTTTGTATTATCACATGAAATTACTTATTTAATTAAAATTAATTTAATTAAATAATGAATAAATTAAACTTTAAATTTATCTATTTACTAATAACTCATTATCATAATTTTTTTAAGATGTTTGAGTCTTTTGTTTTATAAAATGATATCTGAAAAGAAAAAACAAAAAAGAACAGCTATTAGTAATGAAATAAAGTATGAAATTTGTGAATTTATACTAAAAATTCACAACTATCTCATGAAGATATTGCATCACACTTTTATCAACTTCATAATTTTGATATAAAAAAAACAACAGTAAGCAAAATCTTAAAAGATAAAGATAATGGCTTTTTGCTATAACAAATCTTCCAATACCAATTTATAAATATTGTAAAGTAAAATATACTTAAAGAAGCCCTCTCTATTTATTTGAAACAACAATTATCAAAAAAATTTGGTTTTTTCAGATAATATTTTACGTGAAAAAGCAAAAAGTTTACAAAAGAATTAAATATAATGAAAAACACACTTAGATTTCAAATGGATAGTTAAGTGGATTTAAAACAGATATTATTTAAGTAAATAAAAGATACATAAAGAAGCAAATAATACTTTTTTGGCTATTTTACCTTAAAAAAGAATTAAACCATAAGAATTAATTTTTAATTTGTTCTAAATAATATGATAAAACTGGATTTTTTTATCAAATGACATTTAATTAAGCATTTACTATTGGAATTGTTTTAGGAATAAAAAAAGGTAATATATTTAAATTAATATAAAATTTAAAATCTTTTGTTAAATAAGCTTATATTAATATATTTTATATAGAGTATATATAAAGTTGTAATATTATTAACATATAATGCAAATAAAACCAAAATTCTTAAAACTGCTTATTATTAAAAATTCTCATAAATTTTATTGCTTTTATGATTTTTTAATTTAGTATATTCTAATTGTAAAAGATCATTAGCAAATAAATTATTATTTTACTTCATCAATATTATTATTTGCTATTATTGTAATGTGATCAATTGTGTTATAGTTGAAGTTATTACTTTTTCTTCAGAAATATTAGATAGTAATTGTAAATATCTATATTCCTTTTTATATAGTTAAAAATATCAGTTTATATATTGATCCTATAAGAAATCTAAATAAGAAAATGATACATTTTTTATAAAATTTGTATACGTATTTAATGATTCTATATCATAATTTCATATGTTTTATAATAATTTACTTATTTATAATTTTTAGAAAATTGATATATACAGAATTATTAAGGGATTTAAGATAATATATAAATTTTACATAAAATAAAAAAATAAAAAATAATAATATTCAAATCAAAAAAAAATTTTTTTTATACTTTAAATATGCTGATATCGTTTTGAACTTGAATATTACATTTGTGATGATTCTAAAGATTTATTAAATCATTTTATTCATTTTATTTAATAATTTAACTTTTTTCTATTGATTATTATATTTATAGATCTATAAACAAGATTTATTATATTCTATAAATTTATTGTTTGATAATCATTATCAACTAATAGAAACTAATAGTCTTTTGTTTATTTTTCTACAGAAAAAAATTTTTTCATAATGTTTAAATTTTCTTATGATGATTTTTCAAATATAAAAATCACCTTTTAAATTTTTCCTTTTCTTATTAAAAATTTTTTTTACTATCAAAATTATTGTCAATTTTTAGGTTTTAATTTAACTGAATAGTCTATATAATAAAAATAAATTATTTTCTAATTGATGTAAAACATTACTTAGTTAGAGAAAATATAATAGCAAAAAAAATTTATTCTTAACTTTAAAATTCTAATGTTTAGCCTTTTCTTTATTCAGACTGTAAATCTTTATCTAAAAGAGAGTTTATATTAGGAGAATTCATTATTGAGAAAACAATTATTTTTTCGTTAAATTAACTACTGAGTTTTTCTTTTAAATATGATTATTTATAGCAAAAATTAATTGAACTTTCTTCTTTTTTAACTTATCAAAAAATAGATTATATTATCTTCAAAGATTATATCATCAGCTTGAAAAGAAATTACGTATAATTATTATTAAAAATTATAATTATAATAACAAGTATAAATATAGATATACAATAATACTTACTAATTATTTTTACTCTTTATTTTAACTTTTAATATCATTTTACAAGTTATAATATATACATCATTAGTATATAATTTATCAAATTTCATTACATTTAGTGATAATTTCTAAATTTAAAAAATTAAAGATAAAATTTAAAATAATTATTTTTAATTATAAGTTTAATAAAATTAGTTTTTTATAACAAACCTCAATAATTTTGCTATTTATATCAAAAATAACAGCATAAATTTCTTTTAACATTTTTAATTCTACATTTGATAATATATATTTTTTAGATAAAAAGTAAAGTTCATTTTTTCATATAAAGAAAACTGAAACCTATGAGAAAGGTATTTTTTTTCTTCTTTTTAGAATATCTTCTTATAATATACATTAAATTTTAAATGATTAAACCTTATATTTAAAATTATATTTATGACAAAATCTTCAGATTTTTTGCGATATCAAATATATGAATCATGTGATGATCATGTAATGATCAATTCTTGTTACTTTATCATTATCATAACATTTTCATTATCTTAACAATAAAATCACATAGTATCTCTAAAATTTATGTTTTTTATATGAAATGTATGTACAGTATTGTGCTAAAATTTTAATAGTAAATACTTGTAAACTGGTGATATATCAATAAAATATGATAAAAAGAATAGAATAGAACAAATACAGTAAAGTTGTTTTTTTAGAAGATGTATTAATAGTTTAGATGATAATATTAATGAAGTTTTTACAAAAAAGTGTAAGAAAGTATGGATATAAAATAGATATTTTATTATTCATTATGTTGTAAAGCTTATCGTGAAATACAAAAATTAAATTTAAAAATAATATTTATCAAGAATTATCTCCACTTCTACTGTATCTTATATAGTATTCTCAACAGCATCTTTTATACTCACATCAGCTTCTATTACATTTAATGATTTATCAATTCCTGAAACAGATAAATTATCATTTTAAATTCATCAGACTGTTTTGTACTGCTTTACCTACTTCTCATACATTTACTTTTTCTTCAGAACTAAATTCATTTGTTTTTAATATAAATATACTTTTCAACAATTCATCTCTCTCACTAGCAGCTTTCTGTAACTATAATTATAAACATCCTTTAATTATATATATTTTATTAAATGATTCAAATTATAAATTAAAAATATTGCTTACCTTTTTTCTGTAATTCCACAAAAATTCAAAGACTTCTACAAAGTTAGTACAAATACAATTTTACCAATTCTTTGAGCTATTTTATAAACTGATTCATCCAGAAACCAATCAACCTTTC